GGCTACAGAGCTGAAAGAGATCTTCCCCTAGAGCCACTGCCCTGAATTCGGACTTCTAGCCTCCTGAACTCTGAGAAAATAAATTTCTGTTCTTTAAAGCCACCCACTTGTGGTATTCCTGTTACAATAGCACTAAGAAATTAATACACTCAATATATTAAAAATACTATCATTTCTACTTATAATGAACATAAAAAATATTAATGAGATATTTTATATTCTTTTCTCATACTATGTCTTTGAAATCTGGTATGTCTTTTACACTTACATCTCGATTCAGACTAGCCACTTTTCAAATGGTCAATAAACACGTGGCTAGTCGCTGCCATATTAAACAGTGCAGCCCTAGAGAAACTCTTGTACATTAGGTAGAAGGAGACATGTACAAGGATACGCTTTGAAGCATTGTTTATTACAGTGAAAAATGGGAAATAACCCAAATAGCCATCAAAACAGGGAAATAGGTAAATAAATGTGAGCAAAAAGATCAAAGCATTGCCTAGATTCACCCTAAATTCGTGCCCGTGGCTACTCTGGGAGGGAAGAGACAGACTGGGACTGGAGAAAGGAAATACATAGACATGAATTTTATCTGTAAAATTGTATTTCTTTACAGATAGATAAAAACAACTACAGAAATATTAATATCTGTTCACTCTGGGTGGTAGATACAAGGGCATTTATTGCATTATCCTTTGCACTTTTGTGTATTTAAAAAAAGTTTTAAATACCTTACAAAAGGAAAATAAAAATTCATTGAGGATGGGGAGGTAGCAAAACAAACAGAATGGGGACACTCGGGTCTTTAATCATACAAAATTTGGTATAAACTCATTGCACTTCTATCCCCAAGGATTCCTATTTCTCTAAAACTACAAAATGCCTATGGATTATATCCTTTTGATTGAACTAAAATTATTTATCTTCGTGTTAGTTTGTTAACCATGCGCCTGAGTCCAGAAGTTATTCCCTCTTCCTTTGACATGTGTATCATTATTTATTATCATTAATAAATAGTTGTTCATAAAGTGTATTAAGGGTTAAATATATATTTAACTACAAGCAAATGCTAAAATCTTAGGATGACAGTAGGAACTAATAAATACGTATAAAGAGATGAAGCTCTTGACATAAATACCAGGATAGAGTTCATTTTGATTTCAGATGTGAGCTTAAAAAATCAAGTCCCTTCTCCCTCTTCCCATTTTAATTATACAACTTTAATTTATAAGATTATTTGTTGAAAAACAAATGTATTCTAAATTTCTAGAAGCCACCACTTTTAAAATAGTGATTTTTGTGTTACATACTCTTACTGTAATAAATAACTCTCTTGAGATGGAGGCGAAGTGAGAGTTGCATTTTAATTCTTATTAATGGATCCAAGTCTTATTTACAAAATGGACATAAAATACCTGCCTTTTCTTACCTTACATAGTTGTCCTGAGGATCATATATGAAAATGTAGTTGTCAGGAGAAAAAGCAGCATTCCTACAAATGCTGTAGCAAAACTGCTCTCATAATATCGAAGATATAGTCAAATTCTTTCCGTTGAATCCCTCAGTCCTTTGCAGTACACAAAGCTGGAGGTATTGCGCCCCCTGCTGTTGAAATGTGATTACATTTGGTAGTTGATTAAAAGGAAAACCACTATACTGGAAATAATACCTCTCTATAGTCAAGGTAAAAATGCTAAAATCAAAATTTAAAAATTTTCAATGAGGAAGCAGCTATCTCAGTATAACAGGAACTGCCTTCTTCTTGTTCCACCAAGATAAAGGTAAATAAAACTAATCCTAATCAGAATTCAGCGGTCTTGAAACTTTATTATCTGCTTCTGTTTTTGATTTTTCACCTTGCTCACTCCCTAGCCTCAATGCCTTGGGCTCCTGGGACCCAATCTCCTTTACCTTCTCTTTATTCTTCCCTCCAGGCAAAAGAGAAAGCTTCTGATTGTCAGAAACTTAATTAACCGAATGCTATTCAGAAAATGTTAACTAATTCAGCTTTTAACTTTTAAGCCACTTGTTTCCAATTGTGTAATGTTTTGGTACACTTTGAAGGAATATCATGTGTCAACAGTGATTTCGCTTTTGTCTTTCCAATTTTTTATAGAGGGAAGTGTGATAGGTAGATACCTTAAATTCTTATTAAGATAAAAAGGCATGTCCTCCAACAGAATGTTTCTCAGGTTCAGAGGGCCTGTCTTAATTCATTTTTGTATTTCTAATTCTTAGAACAATGCCAATCCACAGGCCACAGTACGTTTGCTGAATTCCAGCACCCTGATTTGGATCTTTCAGGCTGCTGGAAGAGTCTGCCAGCATCCCCAATCCCCTGAGATCTGTCCTTGGCACACGTCTCCCTTCAGACTCTCCTTAGACCCAAGCTTGGTCATTTCATCTCCTTGGTCTCCAAGACTCCCAAATAAAGTGTGTGTTCTTGGATTAGGGGTTATACTTTAATCAGTATGTAAGGTCTTCATGTTGATGTCTTGCAGCACACTGCTATTATATCTATTATTTGCAGCTCTGGTTCTGAGGTTTCTGTAAGAAACAAAACTGAACAAAAAAAACATTGTCATAATATACCTCTTTCCTTAATAGAGGCATTACCCTATTTTAATAGGAAAAAAAAAAGTTAAAATCTAAATCACACTAAAAGAAGAAAGCAGAAGAAGGAAAAAATAAAATAAAAAGAAATTTAAATAGCGCTCAGGTTAATGCTGGGCAACCCAGAAAAGATAACACTGCAAAATCTATCTTGATCAAGAATTCATTCCCTTCCAGAACTGTAAACATTTTCACCACACACTCTCGCAGATTATCTTTTCGATTTAACATTAAAATATGTATTTCTTCATTTAAAGTAGAATTTTAGAAGTTCCAAGAAATCAATAATTTTCTCACCAATTCAATAAATCACTTTACCAATTAATCTTTTATTTATTACACAATTCAACATTTTACAGAAAAAAAATAAGAACCCCTTAAAGTTAAGCTTCAGTTAATTACATCTGTGCCTTCTGATTCTTTTCAAGGTAGAGACCTGAATTTTTACATAAATATAATTAGTAAACATAATAATTTATGTTCTGATTAACATTTTTTAGTTTCACTTAAAACATTTTTGCATACAATTTTACATATATCAATATTATTTGTTATATTAAGTCTTAAATAGCAATATACCAAAATTAACTTAACCATTTCCCAATTCTTGGGCTTTTCAACTTTTTTTTTTTTTGTTTTTACTCTTATGAATAGAATTGCTAAGCATATCTTTGTACAAGTAGCTTTTACTTTCTTTTAAATATTTTCTTGGGCATCTACTACTCAAAATGGGTTAGTATGTCAAAAGACAGATCAATTATAGCTTTATTATATTCTATGTAGTTCTTTGAAAAGACTACTAATATACAATTTGCTACTGATATGAGGACACATGTAACTTTAAATGTTTGCTATTATGATAGTTTTAATTTACATTTTTAATGCTAGGAAATCTGAGTATCATTGTAAGAATTCATTTTTATTGGTCTTGTCTCACCTGCATGCTATGATTTTATAAATCTGCCTAGTAAAGAGTAGAAAACCTTATGGATTTGAATCCATTTTTAAAAATATATTAAGCACTTTATTCAGGTACAATGCAAACAGCACTTTTTATTCCATTTATCTTTTCGTCTTCTTCCTGTCAGGAGACATTTTTATTTTGCCTGTAGTTGATCTCACTATCACGTCAGTAATGTTTTTCGATTGCCGTGAAGTATTCTTTGTACTACCATTGGGATGAGAATTCTAGTCTTCTTTTTTTTTTTTTAACTTTTATCATTAACATTTTAACCAATTTGGAAGAAACTGTTATCATATGTTAAAAAAAAAAAAAAAATTAAATCGCTTTCCGTAGATTCCGACCCTATATTTCATATGTAAAGTGTATCTAATTTCTTTTTTCATACTAATATCTGGATAGTCTTTCCACCAGCAGTTATTAAATATTTCTTTTTGATTGGTTTATTACTACTCTTAGTTAAACTTTCTATTCAGCACGTAGAAATTTTAGAACCACTGCTTAACAGCATGTTTTAACGATTGGAAGGACAAGGCTCCAATTGTTTTTTCCTAATTTAAAAAGACATATCTATGTTTGCTTGCTTATTTTTTCAAATACAATTTATCACAATTTTGTCAAATTACAGTAAGTATCCAGTTGGAATGCTGAATGGAATTGTAGTATATCTATATACTGTCACATTTGGTATTCCTTTTGAAGTGATTTCACATGTATTATCTAACTTAATCCTCACAATAATTCTGTAAAAATTATTTCTACCTCATAGATGGTGAAATGGAAACTCAGAGTGATTTTCCCAAAATTATACAACTGGTAAGTAGTGGAGTGAGGACTGAATTCTGATTTTCAGACTGCCCAGTTAGTACTTTTCCATTACACTAGATGTCTCACACAGGAGTACGGCCATCTTTTAAACTTAGTTCCTCCAGCATGTGGCACTGCTTCTATTTAAGCACCATTCTTACTTTACCCCAGCACGGCTGCACAGCTATATACTAACACTCAAAGACTTTTTAAATTGTAGATTTTCACAATCGAAATCTAGAAATAAGACTAATTTTTAAAAATTTTATATTCTGCAACTTCTTGAATTAGTCTTTTATTATTAGTCCATTTATGACACTATAGATTTTGCTAGTTACAAAGTCATCTTAACAGAAAATAATATTTGTGACGCTTCTTTCCATTTCTTTCTCATTATAGGTAATGTTTTATTTCTTCAACCATGTATAAATAAAAATGGTACCAAGATTGTTTTATTTCTGCTTGAGAAGTGGTTCTTACATGTTTCCCAATAGGAATGTTACTGGCTTTAAGTATTTACTTATTACACTATGGGAAAAGTCTATGAAATCGTTGTTGTTCGCGTTAGATGCCGTCGAGTTGGTTCCAACTCATAGTGACCCAACGCACAACAGAACAAAACGCTGCCCAGTCCTGTGCCATCATTACCAGAGCTAATTAAGTCAAAGATAAATAGTGAATGTTATTGGCATTTTAAAAATTATGTTATTAATATTTTGGATGTTTACCATTAGTTCTGTTGACATTGACTTAACGGTTGTTCTCTGAACACCAGCCTTGTAATCCTGACTCATAGTAAACAATTATTTTTATTAGGTGTCACATGTTTGCCAATATTTTCTTTTGCATTTTGCATATGTTCAAAATGAGACCCTTTTAAAAATCTGCTTTGCCTCAAAATGCAATTAGTAGTGTACGTCCTTCATTATACACAGATATTTATTCTTTGAACATTTGAAAAAGTTCACCAGTTAAGTCCATTATGGCCAAATTCCAACTTGACAGAAAATTAGACTATCCTCTAGATTTTTAAATGCTTATTGGTTATAACGTTTTTCATTTCTAATTTGTTATCTTGTATTAATTTAAACAAGAAAGTAACATTCATTTTGTTAGTTTTTTAAACAACTCTATTTGGGACTAGTCTAACACTTTTTACTTCCATTATCATTAGCTCTACTCTCTTTTGTAACTTCTCGCTGTTCCTTTCTCAATTTCTTACAAATGATCTGTGATGCTGAAAAACTTTTCGGTAGGCCTGCATTACCTTTACCCTCTATTTTATATAATCACCTTAAAATTTTTTTTTTCATTTTAATTACTTTTTTTTTTTAAAGTCTACTTCAAGCATTTCCATTGTTCTCATAGGTTTAAGCCTTAGGTCTCACCCAATAACACTACTTTCCCATATTCAAACAATACATAAATATCAATACCAATACATGACTTCTCTGCTTTCAGTAAGCTGTAATTACTGAAATCTTTCTTATCTCACTTCCCTCAGATAGAGGGGAGAAACAAAAGACAGTTTAGAGCGTATTTCAGCCTAGTAACATTTGTATTTTTTGTAACACAATCTTCAGCTTAAAAGATACATTATTAAAAAAGCATTACTTTGTTAAAACTTAGCCAAACTCTACTTCAATGAGATCCTTGGCTCTAATATGTGTATATATATTTTTTAAAATTAATCTTAATCTTCACATATCTCTAATCTATAATAAGCTAAGAGACCAGTGTGGGGTCCCCAATGTCTGTCTACTTTTCTTCACCAGCAATACTAGATTCTGATTTTCCTAAGTACCTTTTCCTTCTCCTGTAGTACTGCTACTCTTCAAACAGTGAAAGCGGAAAAATCAAGGGTTTTTGGAATCATGGACACCTGGCATTGAATGTTGGCTCTGGCACATACCAGATATTGAGCAAATAATTAAGTCTCCATTTCCTCTCTGAAAATGTATGCAATAATATCTGCCTGACAGGGTAGTTGAGAAGCTGTAATGAGAAAGCATAATACTAAGTGCACTATGAGTTGGAGTCAATTTCACAGCAGCAGGTAAAATAGCACATAATAAATGGTGTGTTCCAGAGAACAACTGTCATTATAGGCTGGCTTCCTATAAGATTGTCAAGCTCTGCCTGGGGAATGGGAGTCCCTGGATGGTTCAAATGGTAAGCTGGCCACTAACCCGAAGGTTGGAGGTTCAATTCTACCCAGAGGTGCTTCGGAAGAAATGCCTGGTGGTCTACGTCCAAAAAAATCAATCACTGAAAAACCCTATGGAGCACAGTTCTACTCTGACACACATGGGCCACCATGAGTCGAAATCAACTCGACAGTAACTGGTTTTGGTGCCTGAGGAATGGAAATGGACAAAAAATGGAGGTTCACCTCTTCCGGCAGCTCCACACTTTTTCAGTACTGGAGTGCAACAAGTTTTATGACTTTTGGAGGTTCTGGGGAAAAAAGTTTCTATCCTCTAGGTATCAGCCAGGAGATAGAAGTGATTATAAAGGCTATGTTACCTAGCCTCGTGGGGTGAGACACAACCTGAAGGGTATGTCAAATGCTCTCTGATTCACTGCTACAGTTTTAGTTAGTGCTGGTAATTAAAGTTGTAAAGTCAACAAAGTTATACGTTTCATTCTCACTGAGAAACCTCAATTAATCTTTACCAACCAAAAAAACCAAACCCATTGCCATCGAGTCAATTCCTACTCATAGCACCACTATAGGACAGAGAACTGCCCCATAGAGTTTCCAATGAACGGCTGGTGGATGTGAACTGCCGATGCCTTTAATCCCAGGTTCAACATGCCTCAGTTAATTTCTCCTTAGGAGTTTCAGTACAGCCACCATGAAGTATCTTTTCTTGGAGCATTCTCCCCTGCCCCTTCTTGGCCTGGGTTACCTGTTGGAAATTCTTTTCTTTTGAGTTGGTCTCTCCTTCTAAACTTCATGTTAGAGCAGGGCTCTGCAAAAATTTTCTGAAGTATTAAACCAGAACTAATCTTATCCTCTAACTTCTCTCTGGAATGAACCTCTGAAGAATAAGCTCTTCAACCAGTAGTTAAATTTGCCGACTCTTTTTGTAATATGGAACTGACTCAGTCGGTTACCAACCGTCAGGCTGATGAATTATACTGAAAGATGTATTTTAAACCTCAGACCTTCACAAAGGATAAGAATCACGCAAGGCTAATCGTTTAACAATTACAGACAAATGTATTTTATCCTACTGGCACTTGCATTAGTTGCTACTACCACCGCCACATCTACAAGTCTATATTACATATAAAAAGACCCACATAATTTATCGTGTGCCTGTTTCACTATTCAAATATCTCCACAGAAAGTACATGTGGTAGGACTTGTAATGGTTGCAAAAGTATTTGAACTATTCCTTAGATATTATTAATTGTTCTGTAGACAATGATAAAATTTGAAGATCACTGGATACAACATTACCTTCCTTTAAGCAGAGCTCCAAATATGGAACCCTCATATACATATGCAATACAAAAAATAAAACTAACACTATTTAAGTTTCTGGATCATGGAGCCCATTCTAAAACAAAGAGAAGTCCAATAATCAACAAATCAGCTACCGATAGATTAACAAAGACATCCAATGACTGAATGTCTCATAGAGCATTAAAGACAACATCTGCATTGCATTTATCATATAACCACTTCTAATTACTCATATGGGAAACTGTCCTTTAAATGAGAATATTCGGATGTCAAGATGAAAGCCCAATGGAGAATTTCCAGTTTGGTCTAATTTTGAAGGAGCTTCCCTGGACTTTCTAGGATTTCGCTTTCCTCAGAGGATTCTAGTTCAGCCACTATTATATTATTGGTTCCAGGAGGCTCTGGTTGCCTATCATCACCATCAAAGATAATATCTTCTGGATTTGGAGGTGGGGGACAGAATTCTTCACTTGGAAAGATCTCATGGAAAAGTGTTTCAGCTTGTTTGACGGCATGCTCATTTCCCAGACCACAGTCAGGCCCAGAACAGACATAAACGTTGGAAGGTAAGTCATTATATGAGCTTCTGCTGATTCCTGAGGAATCTCTCATATTAAAATAAAGAGCCCACAAGAGTCTTGGCTTTTCAAGTTCTTCCTTGTCTATTTCTGTTTCAGCATATGGGGTAAATAATTTCTTAACCACTGATTCTAAATCTTCTCTTGCTGTTTTAGAAGAGGAACACGTCAAATGCACCAGATAGGTGTCTTTCATGCATGTCATGGTTGAAGAACATAATTCGGTGACTCGAACAGCACAAGCCCCTGGTTCTGCTGGAGGCACTATCAAAATAGAAATCTGCTGATCTGAATCTGTCTTCAGTATAGACTGATCTGTAATGAGCACTGCCCTAGACATCTGCTTATACTGCACACTTGAGCAGGTTTCCTCAGAAAGGTAACTATCCTCCACAATGAAATACTTAGCATTTATTCTCTGGCCAAAGTGATCTATAATTGCCTTACATCTTCCAGATTCTTTGTCAACTACAAGGCATTGTACCTTATGGCGAAGGCAATAGATTCCACCAAAAACTGCACACATCCTGCAGAAACACTGGGGAATTTCTCCTTGGCCGTACAAGGGAAATAAGAAGGGAGTGTTGCCAAACCGTCCAAGACACCGAAGGAAGTTTTTTGTTGCTTTAAGGCCATCTACTGTAGTGCAAGACGATTCTGATGTCATTGCTATTGAGTGCAGTACAAAATGTTGGAGGCTGGGAGTTAATTTTTTAGTTTTTAAGTACTCTGAAAATGAGCACTGCTTGAAAGCTTCATACTCATCAGGATATTGTTCATAGTCAAAACAAAATGTAAGAAATTTCATTAGCATTCTCTTTTCAACCATAGTGAGTTCTTTGCTATTGAAGACATCTGCTCTGGAACAAGGCACTTGTTCAACTTTTCCTTCCCAAAATGCAAGAATCCTAGTGACGTTTTTAAATTCTGCATATCGACTAACATTTGATTTGATTAAAAGGTCAATTAGCAATCCTTGAGAATACAGTAACTTTGATACCAAATCGATATTAAACCTCCTGCCTTCTTTAACTATCTGAGAGTAAGTAATCCTCTTTCTCTTTGGTTGATCTGTGTTGACTTCTTCTACAGGTTTGTTTTCATCTTTATCTCCATCTGAAACTGTGTGAGCACAAGTTCTATCTCCACAATCCTTTTCTTTCTCCATGGTTTCCTCTACATCATTCACTTCTAGTGAAATCTCTCCACCACTTTTTGAAGTGTCTTTGGCAGGCATTTCGTAGCTAGTAACGTGTACTGGGTGCTTGTCTTCGCCCAAGCATGCAGAATCCAGAGGTTCAGTGAGGGTACTAGATGCCACTGAGGAAGGATTTTTCAGCAAAGCACCTATCTCTTCAACACTGTCATCCACATCCTGACTGGTGTAACAAAAAACTTCCACATGTTGAATGGTTTCATCCTTCTTGCGAAGAGTAATGGCTTTTTCTGTTTTGTGGATCAGGTCTTGCCATGCAGCTGTACTTTCTTCCCCATCAACACAGTTTTGCTGATATTCCTTCAACCAGGATAGCAATCCTGAAAAGCTGAAGCTAGCCCAGTTCCCGCCATAGTAACTTCTGAAGTCAACATGCAGAACCCTCTGGCCACTTCTGGAACTTGCAGCTGCAAGGATGGATTCAGGCAAACCTGTCCCTATTATAACCACATCAAACTCTGTGGGGAGACTGTCTGCCATCCTGGAAGGCAAAGCGTCTGGTGACAACTGCCGATGAAGGAAACGTGTACAACTCTAGGATGAGGGCTCAGCTGAGGTGTGACTATGCTGAGATAAAATCTCTCCTTGTGATGTTCCAGTTCATCCCAGAGGCATCAAGCTTGCAGGTCCTAGCTGTTTAGTTATCACCCTTTTTAAATATATATTTTTTCTTATAGGTCAGTAGCATAAAAATATGATAAAGTACATCTAATCACTCTTAGAATACTAAAAGTGATGTGTGGTTTTCATTCCTGTATTTCATTTTAGCAGTGAATGTCAAAATGTATCACATATGCATTTGTGACTGGAACTCTTCTCTGAAACAGGAAAATTCAAGAAAGAATACAATTGTAAACAATATAAAAGTAATTTCATTCAACAGCGATTACAACTTGTTATCTGGATAGAAACCTCCTCTAAAGCAAGTCATTAAATGCTTTCTCACCAGAAGACCTTTTCAGGCCCCAACCACCCACGGGACCTTATGGTAGCAACATGAAAATATGACTATTTTGACTGAATTAACCAGTCAGGTTATCAATAAAAGATGAATCTGTAAATCAGTAAAACAACTGGCATTTAAAAATACTTTGGTATATAAAAGAACAGGCCTACTGGGGAAGATACTTATTTGTAACAAATCTTTTAATATGAATACACATATACACATGCATGTTTTGTAGAAAAGGAAAATACCTAGGCTCACAGGTTAAAATATCTTAACATAAATAACTTACACCTACTTCTAACATTTGAATAGTATGACTTTGTGTTTCACCAGACTTTGGCTCTACAATCCCGAATCTCTGTATTCCAAGAAATAGCCTCTGTCTAAACATCCTCTGCAAGACTAGTACTTTTTTTATGTTCTTGGTTTTAAGGGAGTGGGAGGTGGTAGTGACAGAAGGCGCCTGTTAACTTTTGGCATATGCCATGTGCAGAACACCTGTGATGCAATAGGTGTGGCCAGAGGTCGAACAGCCAAGGGGCTGAAGGGCATACTCATCTAAAATAAATCTTTACAGCAAAGCAGTTTTTACCTCCCCACACCTATGCATGAGGGCTGCCCTCTACACACTACGCTGCACAGTAAGAATCAGAGTGCTCTGAACTCTGATTTCCCTTTCTGCTTAACCTACTGAAATCTATATCAGTACAAGCTGGGCCAGCCTAAGCTAAGACGACTGTCTAGTCAAAGCTTCTGCCTCATTCCCTGAGAAACCAGAACTGCACATAGTATATAAGTAAGTATGGTTGAATTATTCATTCTGCCTTCTTTCAGCAGGGTGTGAAGAGACAGACAGAATCCATGACGGTATGTGAAGAAGAGTGATTGTAGTATGTGCTTATTCTTAGCTTAGAGGAGGACAGTTAAGAGCTGAGGGTGGAAGTCAGTAAAGGAAGAGGACAGAAGCCACAAATGCTAAAACAAGGCACCTTTTAAGCTACGAAGATCAAAGGAGTCATCAAAATACATAGCCAGAGAGACCTGAGAGAACATTTAGCTCAACTACTCCATAACAGAGATGAGAAAACGGACCCCTGGTGAGTTTAAGTGACCTGAGAAAATCACACAATTCATTAGCCACAGAATCAAGAGCAGAATCCACCCTCATGCCATTAGGCCACTAGATTTTTCCACTATATCAGGCAGCCTCCTCAGATGCCTCTGGGGGCTGAGAACAGGGTGCAGCCACTTCCAGCTTTTTTTCTCCATCCCTCTTCAGTACTCCATGGCTAGTTAGTTTTGCTCAGGGATAACACCTGGTGAAGCACCCTCCCTTTCTTCATCTTTAACTCTAATCTAGAAGCACCATCCTTTGAATTTACTCCAGGCAAAGAAATCTGAATCTTTACTAAGAACTTTTTAAGCTCCATCATAACCCCACTCTTGACTTGTCTCCCAGGGTTTAAACAAGCCTCGGAACCTCTTACTCCAGATTCCCCACCTCTAATCTAAAAACAGGGATGAAGTCATGGTTGAAAGCACTGACCAAATGCCCAGAAAAACAGAGCAGTTCTCAGGTAAAATACCGCAGGATGAACGTTTCTAGCACTCTTAGAAAATCACTTGATTGGGATGGGCCTTGGGAAGGGAAGGTGAAGGAGGCAAAAAGGAAGAGAGAGGAGACAGGAGGGTGGGGTAGGCAAAGGGAAGGGGTTGGGGAGAGGGTCCGTGCTGGTAGTAATAAACAACTCAATATGCCTTTGCTTTCAAACTACCTTCCAGGCACAGAGTTAGCCAGAAATAGAATTTCCCAGCACAGATAAGGTACTTTGTGGAAATAAGAAATTTCACGTCTGTGACCAAACACCTGTTACCCATCCTTGAGGGCCATTATTATTGACACTTTAGGCTTGGGCTTGAATCACCCTCTTTACAGCTTAGCCCTGACTTTAAAAAAAAAAAAAAAAAAAAAAGAAAGCCTAATAGGTATTTTTAATTAATATAAAGAATTTAATCACATAGCCAGCTGTATCATCACCTACATACACTTACAGCCCCCTCCCCAAGTTGCAAATCTTTGTACAATTGAAATTCTCAGATGAATGCTTATTGGGGAGTGGGGAGAGAATGGTATTAGAATTACTGAGACAAAAATTAATGAATTCAAAGTATCAAAAAATGAATCACAACAAACATCTTATTTGGGTTTGTCACAGCCTATGAAACTGGTGAGCAAGAAAATATTTCTGATGATATTACAAAGATTTTGTTCTCCAAAACCTGCCAAGATAAAAGCAATCATGAATTATCAATGGATTTCGGGATAGAACAGGAACTTTAACACCTGAAAAACACACATTTCTATCTCAACTCATTGTTCAAATAAAATTGCCAGAGGGCATCCCAAAATAATTTCTTTCCCAAGCTTAGAAAATCGTGTCTTCCACTGAAATGCTGGGTTGATCATCCTTAAAATGTCAGTGTTTCTGTGAGATTTAATTCTTCCATGGGGATTAGAAGTATTGTAGAGATAAATTTTCAGTTAACAATCAAGTCGTTCTGCTTTAATGAAGTCTACTGGTTGCACAGCTAATTATTTGTTCATCTGAGTTGGGATTCTCACCTTAGATTTTGGTGTCATGGAACCTATAAGGAGGCAAATATAGTAAAAAAATAAAATAAAATAAAATAACGGATAGGGCATATGCTAATTTGCATTCTTGAGGACCTGAATGAAATTGTGTCACTTCCTAGGAAGCATTCAAAGGTTTACAACTGCTAATGAGCAAAAGAGAAAAAAAAAATTACACATCGCTGCTATTTTAGGCTTCTACCTTTCATTTTAGGGGAAAAAAATAGTGTATGCATTAATTTTCTTCCCGTCACCCTCGCCCCAGCTTTCACGAGTTAATCACTTTTTTCCTTGAATCTCCTGATTCTACTTTCCTCAAAGTACAAACGCCGTCGTTTAGTGCCCTGTTGAATTACTGTACGAGGTGAAAGCAGAGAAAGGAGATGAGCTTCACAGCGGCTGGCCGGAGTTACGGAGGGACTAGGGCTAAAAGAGGAGCAGGAGATGAAGACCTGCTGGGGTTTAGGGTCCACATGGGGGGAACAGAGAGGTGGTCAGCGCTGGGTGGGACGAGCCGAGGGAAGGAGGAAGGTGGGCCGTGCAGCCTGGGGTCGTGGGGCGGGAGGAGAGACGCGCAGGGGAGGCTGGTGCCAGGGGCGGCAGGCAGGGCGAGCGCGCGCGCCGAGGCCAGGCGGGAAGGAGTTGAGGTGGGTTGGTGACACTGCAGGGAATGGGACGTTTGCTCCCTCCTCCCCGCCCAACTCACCGAAGAGGCTGCTGCTAAACCCGTCCCACACGCAGCCCACGGTGTCCCAGACCCAGCCGTTCCTCAGGCAGGACACGAAGGTAAAGGTGACTCCGAAGAGGGACACGAGCAGGTCGCTGAGGCTGATGTTGACCAGGAAGAGGTGAGTGGGCGTGCGGAGCCGCTGGAACTTGTAGTACAGGACGAGCACCAGCAGGTTGTTGCCGACACCCAGGAGCCCAATGGAGCCGACCAGCAGCGCCAGGCGCTCGTAGGTGTCCGAGCTGAAGAGGGGCGCGGGGCTGAGCGTGCCCGCTGGCCCCGCGGTGCCCGAGTCCCCGCCGCCTTCCCACAAGTCCTGGCCGCCGCTGCGGTTCCCCGAGTACATGGCCCGGAACCGGCGCACTAGGCGGAAGCTGGTGCTCAGCGTCCGCCGCGGCCCACGGAGCGCTCAGCACTGGGTGGAGCTCGGGCTCCGCCGCCGGCTATGGTCATTGCGTGCTGCGGAGCCCCCGCAGCCGCGCGCCGAGACTGCCAGGCGTCGTCCGGGACCAGCCCGGCCCCGCCAGCTCCGGGATCCCACCGCCCTTTCCGCCCGGCACGCCCTCGTCGTCCCGCCCCATTCCTGCGGGCGCGTCCCCGCTGCCCCACCTATCCAGCGCGTCCTCGTCTCCCCGCCCCTCCGCCGGGCGCGTCTCCGCCCCCCCCTCGACGCGTCCTCGTCGCCCCCCATCCCTTCGAGGCCCCTCCCCCCTCCCCCCAGCTTGCGCCCGTGTGTGTGCACTGGCATGGGGGTGATCCGCGAGGATAGGGCAGAAGGAGCAAAAATCAACCGCAGTGCCTCCTCATACCCCATCCCCGCTACCCACGCTGAAAGCCTCGTGTCCATTCGCACGTTCACCTCTTACTTATGTATTCATTCATTCATAAATATTTATGAACCCTACCATGTCCTAGGGAGAGGGTTGGATGACTAGGCTCTTCTCCTCAGGAAGCTGTAATAACCTGATAACAGTCCACAGCGCCCACCCGCATCTCATACACTTAATGTAAAAAAACGAACAAAAAAGCCTTGAAAAGCTTGGGGGTAGGGCGCCAGCCAAACGCTCTACAAATATGAAAACTGAGGAAGAAATAGGTAAATTAATAGAGAGATGCCTCCCTGACTTCTTGAGAGCTGGAAGACTTGCTCAAGGACTTCTTAAAGAGTATATACTGCAATGGCGAGGGGATAGGATGCTGGCCACCCTCAGAAAGTTACAGGATAACAGAAGAAAGGAAATGGCATAGAAGTGTGACTCAGAAGTTAAGCCCAAGCTAGATCCCAAGACCTGCCAATGCTGTCCTTCCTGTCCCGCTCTAATGTGGTGGTCCTGTTAGCAGGCTAAGTCCTTAACTGGCAGTGAATGTCCGGCTGTGCCCCCAGAGCTTCCAACCTAAATTTACCAGTATAGAGAGGCAGGTGCTTTATTTAGAACAGCACACATTTTAGATTCTGCCTTTTTCCCCAGTAGCGATTAAAAATATAGTACAAGTGAAATATAGGTTGTGAACGTGATCACACTCTGCAGCGGCGGCTTCTGCCTCGTGGCTGCACAGTCCCTAGCAAGGCCCCAGAGGAGGACCCGGACGTGAGCCAGACCTGCAGACTGTCCTCGGAACTGTGACCAGCACAGTGTTTGTGGAAGGGCAAAGTAATCACCCTCCAGGAGGGTGTTTACCCCTCTTACCTCTGTTCAAAAAACCAGTAAAGACTGACTAATCAATGAATCCCCATTCAAAACTCCCTGAAGACAGAATCTACTGGGCTTGGGGTCAGCTTTCTACCCTGGCTTATTGAATAATAGCTTAGGGTGCTACCCTCAAAACCTTTTGACTTTCTTTTAAGGATTTTCACCTGTCATCTATGAGACTATCTAACCCATGTATCCCCTTAAAAATATTTAATGTTATATTCTTGATTTGGTCAACGACTGAACAAGTTCAGTGTATTTAATGTCCACGTGTATTCCAGCATAGTGCCTAGTCTACAATAAATTCTCAATAAATATTAGTTGAGTGAATGAATGGAGAAGGACCCACTATATTTTTTCTGAAATAGTCATTCATTCATTGTTTGGTGCTGAGTCCCTGCCCTCATGAAGCTTACATTCTGGTGGTGATGGAGGAGCAGACAATAATCAAATAAAGGCCAGACCACCACCTGTCACAGAGGAATAATACCAGAGCATGAAGAAGAGTAGGAGGCTTTTGACAAATGTTTAAGAATTTTGATAGAATTATTTTTGGCAATACTATGAAATGTTGAGGATCTTATGCTTGATAGAAACAGGCAATGATATCACAAAAATGATTTCTCTTGAAATAATAATATATGGTTCTATTCAATTTCAGAATTATCTAATGATAGGATAATGGTAAAACATTACAACTTTAAAAGCAAGTGCAAATTGTGCCTGCATCTCACGCTCTCAGAGTAGAAGTAAACAGATGTAACCAATTTAACCAACAAGCTGGACTTGACAGGGTGCAAGCAAAAAAGTAACTTTACTTTTTCTCCCTGGCGGCACAATGGTTAAGCACTCAGCTGCTCGGCTCTGCTGAGGAAAGACCTGGCAGCCTGCTCCTATAAAGATTACAGCCTAGAAAACCCTATGGGGCAGTTCTACTCTGTCACATGGGGTCGCTGTGAGTCAGAATCGATTCCACGGCATCTAACAACAACAATAACAAAACTTTTCTGGTCACTTTCCATTAGTATAAAGTCCAGACCACTGAAACTTGACAACTCATCTAAAATTCATCCCCCAAGCCCCCTAAACTAGAGAACTAGAACCTACTTTAGGCCTGGAGAACTTCTTGGGGCGGGGTGGGGTGGGGAGTCAGAAACCAAGAGACAACAAGGTTAGTTTCTCCCATTTCCTTGATCCACTACCTGTAGATGTGGCTCTGGGCCCCTTCTGGATTGCCAGGAAAAAGCTTCATTGATTGCTAAAGTTGTCATCTGGTGTTGGTACTCTCTGATTGTAGCAAACTTTAAATGCTAGGTTTTTGCTTCTAGGGTAGTTTGTGGCTTCTCCAGAGAACCTGAGGTCACTGGAGCTCTTTCTCCCACATCTCCCTCGACCTGGGCAATGCCTTCATCGACTGGCCGCTTAGGTCTCCCCCTTAGCCCCCTGCTTAGAATCCCTATAGTGTCACTGTAAGTTGGAATCAAACTCGATGGCAATGAGTTTGGTTTTCGGGTTTAGTCCCTATAGGCATTCTTCCCCAATGGGGTGCCTACCAAGATGACCCACTCTGGCTCCTCTACTCAGGGTCTAGCATCTGGCCTTCTGGAAATATCCATGCACCACTGACCCACCAAATTCTGGAAGTACTCTGCTGCGGGAAAGTGGGCCAGCTCCAGTCTGCTGCCTTTAGACCCCCTTGGGTAGAAAGAAATGGAGAAAGGTTAAGGCACCTTGACTACTCTGACAGTTCTCTCTGAAGTGCTCACTAAGCATCCCTTTGACCTTCTCTAAGTAGTTTGAAGGCGAATGAGCTAATGCATACAGAACTAGTTTCCAGTGCCTCAGCATAGCCTCCCTTATGGACTGTCTAGCACTTTTCCTTTAGAAGTGGGAGCTCTTCAAGTCTACTGTACTGTGGGACCTCTCCAAGGCAGAAGGCGGTCCATTTTAATATCCTCCTACACGAAATCATTAAGCATTTTAACTACACTGTGCTCAAGAGCAAGTTTCAGGCAGGACTGGGCAACGTTGGGTTCTAAGTCACCAGGAGTCAGAGCCAACTGGACGGCAACTAACAACAACACTCAAGCATTAAATCATCAAAATCTCCGTATGCCCAGAAAGCCCTTTGCAAAGTATGGGGAGACGGGCAGGACGGAGAAAAGGTTTTATCTGCCGTTTTTGCTTAGAATAACTGATAACTCCTAGCCTTTTACTTGTCAGGTATGTGTCAACTGAGATGTAACTCCAACCCTGACTAAATCAAATAATCTCCTTCCCAGGGCTCAGAACACATTCTTTCTTGCTTCTCTAACCTTGGTTCCTGATGAGAAGCAAAGAGCCCTTACAGAAAATCTCTCCAAACATATCTACATCTTTTCCTGCCTTAGGAAATGTAATTTTGTGAATGTAATCGAATTTTTTAAAAGAGGATCTGGCATGCCTTCGAATTCTGAATGTTGACTCTCCTTGTGCCCACGGATCCTCAGATGTAAAGGAGGTAGGAATCAGCTTAATGCATATACTGTGTACCTGTCCACAGACCCCCCAAAACACATAAATTTGTTTTACAAATTAAATTTCATGTATAACCTCACTCTAAAAAAGCAAAATTTGAGTGACCAAGGAGTTAAGGAAGAGTAAACATTCAATTCCTGAAGGAACTGGGTAGTTAGGTTATGATCAACTTAAAATATACTGTATAAATAGATCTACACCAACACCCATAAGTGAAATTTTGCTACAATTGGGACAAAAAAGAACATATACGTAGAACTTCCTGAGAGGGAAAAGGAAAAAGTAGGTTATGTACAAAGCATCAGGGATCGGAATAGCTTCAACAACAAATGCTGATCAGAATAGACTTCTTAACAGCAGCACTAGAAGCAAAAAGACAGTGGCACATCCCTTTAAAATATTGCCAGGAAATAATTTCCAGCCTAGAATTCTGTACACACCTGTCTTAATTATCTAGTGCTGCTGTAACAGAAATACCACAAACGGGATGGCTTTAACGAACATAAATTTATTTTCTCATAGTTTATGAGGCTAGAAGTCAGAATTCAGGGTGACGCTCTAGGGGAAGGCTTTTTCTCTCTGTCGGTTCTGGTGGAAGGTCCTTGTCTCTTTGAGCTTCTGCTCTTGAGCAATCTTTGTGTGACTTGGTATCTCTCTTCCCACATCTCTGCTCCTTTTCCTTGCTTGGTTAATCTCTTTCATATTTCAGAACAGATTGATTTAAGACACACCCTACACTAATTCTGTCTCATTAACATCATAAAGACAACCCATTCCCAAATGGGATTATAACCACAGGCATAGAGGTTAGGATTTACAACACATATTTTTGAGAGACATAATTCAATCCATAACACCACCCAAACATTGACCAAATGCGAGAGAAGATGAAAAGATATTTTCAGACATGCCAGATGTCAAAAGCTTATCTTCCAGGCACTGTTTCTGGACGTAAGCCACCAAAGAGGGAATAAACCACAGAAAAGAAAGATATAAGATATAGGAGAGATGATAAGGAATTCCCAAAATGATGGTGAAGGGTGAAGGGAGACTGCAGTGTGACGGTTATGCCCCCAATGTATAAGGCATCAGTCTAGACTGCTGTAGTGTGACTCAAGAGACAGACATGTGGAGGAGTGTCATTATCAAGGAGACTTCTGCTCTTGTTTCATCCTTTTATCTTGAAAATGGCTGCCTGAGCCTGGCCCAGGTTCTTAGCAGGATCTGGTAGGCCACCACCATGCACTGCTGAAGCTCCTGTCCTCTCTGTGCCCCGCTGCTTACATCAGCTGAGAATACTCATTTCACTCC